AAGGTTAATTGACATGAAAATTCACTAGAAAAAAAGTCTTTTCAACAATGGTACTGAGACAACTGGATCTAGGCCGGGCACGGTGGCTCATGCCTGTTACCCCAGCACACTGGGAGGCTAAGGTGCGTGGATCACTTGAGGCCAGGAGTTCGAGACCAGCCTGGCCAACATGGCGAAACCCCGTCTCTGCTAAAAGTACAAAAATTAGCGGGTGTGGTGGTGTGCCCTTCTAATCCCAGCTACTGGGGAGGCTGAGGCATGAGAGTTTCCTGAGCGTGGGAGGCAGAGGTTGCAGTGAGCCGAGATTGTGTCAGTGCACTCTAGCCAGGGCAACAAACCAAGGCACTGTTCAAAGAAAAAAAAAAAATTCTTGGCCAGGTACATAAGCCCAGCATTTTGGAAGGCTGAGGCAGGAGTACAGGCAGAGGCCAGAGGCTGAAACTAGCCTGGGCACCATAGTGAGATCTCATTTCTACAAAAAATAAAAAATAAACAAAATTATCCATGCACTACAGCCTGGGAGACACAGCAAAACCTTGTTGTTGTTGTTGTTGTTGTTGTTGTTGTTGTTGTTGTTGTTGTTTAAAAAAAAGAAGATCTATTCTCCCAACAAATTTGAAGTAGAAAATACATATTCCTTAACTACAGTCACTATACTGTACTTTAAGTCTCCAGAACTTACTCATGTTATAAGTACCTTTATAAATGAAAGGTTTTATCTTTGAAAGTTTGTACTCTTTGACCAACGTATCTTTCTATTTATGGTTAGCAAAGTTAACCTTCATTTTATATGTTTATTGACTCTTTGGATTTTCTGAGTTTGTACAAAGTGGTATCTTATGTCTTTTGCCCATTATTCTCTTGGAAATTTTAGTGTTTTCTATTGTTTCTAAGAGCTCTTAAGATATTTAGGTTAAAACAGCATTTGGTCATATTCATTGCAATAACTTTATATTGCTCTGTAACTAAACTTTGTATTTTTATCATAACGATATGTGCTTTACAGGTTTTCACTTTTACTAACCAAATTTATCAATTTCTTTTCTTTCTGACATCCTCTACTGCACTGAGGCTTAGAAAACCTTCCTTTTCTTAAAATCTAACTGATTTTCATGAATACTTTCTTTCAGTTAAAATTAGTCTACAGTAAACTCTGAAACCTCTGTTATCTGGGCAGAAAGCATAGATATAATTTTAACAGAAAAGTAACAGTTAATTTCCTTTATTTCAAACAGAAAATGTCTCCCTATCTCCTCTTATTTGTCATGCTATTTTTATCATATACCAAATCTCTATGCATGTTTTAAAGTTTTTCTTTACGTTTCATTGATCTATTTCTTTATTTTCTGCTAGCCCCATTATTGTGGTTTTGGAATATATTTAATTATGTATGATAATGCTTGCTTCCTTCTCATTACTTATGTTTAAACATACAAAATATTTGCTATTCTTGTCCGCATGTTTTTTTCAAGTAGACTTGAAAAACCACTTGCTAAAAAAATTCAGAAAAATATTCTACCAGGATTTTGATTGCAATTACATTAAAGCAATAAGTAATCTGGGAATAACTGATACCTTAACAATATTCGGTGTTTGCAGCCATGAATGACCATGTCTCCACATATATTCAAACCTTTTATGTCTCTCAATCAAGGTTAATATTAACAGTTTTCTGTATCTAGGCCTTGGATTTTTCTTTTCAACTCCCTCAAAAAAACCAAGCCTGAAAGCCTTAAAATCTGACACTATTTGTATGAGAAAAGATAGTTGCTAACTTATTACATGTTTTCATTTTGTTACTATAGGAATCATTTGTTTGAGTAAAAGCTTTTCCTTCCAATACAAATGCAGGAGGTTGCCAAAAAGAAATGGGTAATAGAATGCATGCTAATTACGTACTCCATATAGGACTTTTAAAAGATGAAATTATTACGCCTTCAAAGCAAATACTATGATGATATTAAGTCTAAAATTATATGTTAAGTTTAGTTGGAGGCTAACAAATGAAAATTAAAATAACTAAAAAGTGAGCAAAGCTGGAGAATAAAGTGAAGAACAAACTCCCACATATTTTTATAATTGGCTAGTTTGATCCCGCCAACACTGCAGCCACTAGCCACATGTGGCTACTGAGTACTTGAAATTAGGCTAGTCTGCAATAAGTGCTATAAGCATAAAATGCACAACAGATTTCAAAGACTTAGCACAATATTTAAAATGTTTCATTAATGTTGTCCTTTAATTTTAATTGCATTAATATTTTGAATATTTTAAGTTAAATAAAATACATAATTAAAATTATACATTTTGCTATTAATATTAAATTAATTTTGCTATTTTATTTTAAAAATTTGCCCACTACACAATTTAAATTATAAATATGGTTTGCATTATATTTTTATTGTACAGCACTGTGCTAAACTGTTTTCAAAAATTAGCTGGTACTAATTACTCTTTATTCTGGGCTGCAAAATGCCCCCAAATAGTGTTAATTCAGTTTTCTTGATTTTAATTTTTTACACATTAAAACAATTATGTCTTTGGCTTGCAAGTTCAAAGTTTAGTAAAAGTCAATTATTGTACTATATATTTCCACTCTGAAATATTATAAAAGTGTTCAGAAAATATGAAGTACATATGTGGAGCTTGATGAATAAACTATAGGACATGCGAAAGAAAGAGAGCGAGCAGAGAAAGAATAACGTTATAAGACATCAAAATATATTTTATGTATCAAGGTCACAAATAATTTCAAAATTACTCAATAGCAAAAGCTGAAACCCTCCATTATCTTCTTCTTAGTCATTGAGGAGAAATTTATTAATAATAGAATAAACTAATTACAAAAGGCATTTGAAAGGATAAAGAGTTCTGGGGCAAATATGCTTAAGACGTTTTAAAATTTTTTGTCAGATTTTAAACCTTTGTTACGTCATTAAACAAGAAAACCCCAAGTTTTATGCCTGTTATTTCTTGCTATTAGAAATGCTCAGAGCATTTATGTGTAATTCTTCTGTGACACTGAACACTTTCTACTTTAACCTAAACGGCAAAGTCCTTGAAATTTTGACAGCTTTGTCCTCTTGATTCACTTTCTACCATCATACCACTCCTTGCCAAATACCAAACACAAGCCCATACACATAGCAGATGTCAACGATGATTTACTGAATGAAGGGATGAGTGAATGAAAAAATGATTATGATCTCTTTTGCCTCTGTGTGTTATAGCTTAAAGACATTATGTCCATAAAAAAGTGTCCAAATTTCATAGGTATGTAGAAGAAAAAGAACATAAAATGCCAGTAATGTTGTACTAAGTCTTTGATTCTTACTCGACATTTTAACATTTCCTCTTAAATAATAACACAGGAAGTTTTTTGCAATAGGATAATTTTCTCAAATCAACAAGATAAAACTGTACACAATTGCCTTATACTTTATATATTAATATAAAACTGGGAGCTTAAACTCTCCATTTTTATTTTATTTAATCACCTACATCAGAAATATATTATTTCTTCAAATATTTAAAATATTACAGGGATGATAAAACAAACACACAAGTATGGTGTATCTAAATTTGTACATCAGTTAAATGTGTTATGTATATTCGGAGACACACATAAAATTTATGTTTTTATCTCCTTGCCTGCTAGGAATTATTTCCAGACCTACTATTTTACATCACATCTTTATCAACAGTTTTCCAGTTGCAAAGACCACTGTATATATGTATTTCCCATAAGTATTAGAAACAAGAATATAATTTTGCTTGACTTGTACAACCCTCTGAGGGCTATGAAACTGCATTTAAAGAAATATTAACTAATGTCATTTGAAAGGTGATCTTTAAAATGCATCAAAAGTGAGTGTGGATGTGTGGGTGTGCGTGCGCGCACATGTACGTCTGTGTGGTAGAAAGGTCTTGAAAAATAACTCTGTATTTTGGGGGTGCTTCTGATGTTTACTATATGACTATTGGCCTTTTTAAAAAAATAAGATGCTCAGATATTTTGCCAAAATGTGCTAAAACAAAGTCACTCAGATAATATGAGCTAGTCTAGAGATTAATAAACCCTCCAATTTCAAAAGCTTATACAAAGAATGAAATGAAAACAGAGAATTTTCAGCCATCAAATATTTCAAGACTTCACTCTGTTTCTATGACATATTCATCCCATACGAAAGATTTGCTAAAGGGGTTGTAATGGCCTTCTGGGACAGGAAGAATAAGGTTTCTGGAGAAAAATGTTAAATTAATTTTGATGGTGATGCAAAGTTAAGAAAGGGTTGTTAAGGAATGGCTTGCTGCCACGGGGTGGGGTTTTGTTTTGGTATCCTTTTAGAGCCTGCAGGTGTTTGGCACTAGTTAAAATCAGGGCCAGCTGTGATATTTCAATAGTTCTGATATTTTCCTCCCAATAGTTCTCAGAAGTGATGCTTCAGGGTGATGTCTTACACCTGATACATTCAACTTGTGTGGTACAAATGTGAAGACTCCATTAAATAACACCAGTTTTGTGACACTCTTTGCCCTCTCTTCCCTACCCTCAGGTCATGGCATCAATGACAAAGAAAAACACTAATCAGAGGCTTCAATCACTCATAGTTTTTAATTGAGCAGTTTAATCAAAGATGGTGATATGCTAGAATCACCAAATATACAGTCTTAAGCAAAGCCTAAAAGCAGAATGGCACATTCCCTTTTGATTCTTAGTGTAGACAGTGATGCTTTTAATCTCTCTCAGTGGTAAGATATATACCTATGTTTGCAGGAATTTGAATAGTTTCTATTAAAAGCTGCATTTTCTTTTAAGTTTGTTTGGGTTGGAAACCCTCAAACCACAATGTATTTCATGCACATGTTCCCGAGGGTATGTTAAATAGGACCATACTGAGGTCATCTAGTAAGTTTTTGAAACTTTTTAAGAATTCCTTTAATGTACTGCACAATCTTGGCTTGATTAAAAGAAGATATTTTAAGAAAGCACTTGGAATAATGACTGGCTATTAAAATCTATATACAGATCATCTATATTATACATCTATAATGCACAGAACTTTCCACAGATAATTTGTCATTGAGAGAGAAAGACAATAAAACTCCCACTCTAAGGATTCTGAATAAAAACTCCTCAGAACTTTCAGTAAATGCAGACCAATCCCCCTACACCCAGCCTGCAGTATTCTTGATTGACTTAACAGTGGATGCCTGTAGGATCACTTTAACTGTGCAAAGGTCTGTCACATATAATCAGAGTATAAAAGGTAGACAATCTCTCATTTATCCAAGAAAAAAAAATCATTTGCTGTTTTGGTTGAATCGAAAAATCAAGTTACCTCAATCCATGAGACTATGATGAAATTGTTAGGCTAGAAATAGTTTCTACCATCAAGTACATTTTTGTTGTCTCCAAGTTCAAACCACAGATGAAATGCTGTTAATGGTCTACTTAAGAAGTAGGCACTCAAATTTTTCTGCCGTTACTTGAGTCTCCCAATCCTGGCTTTTGTTGTGGTTGTTAGACATACCCCTTTTCACTTTATCAAAGTCTCCATTCCTACGCCATGTTCCAGGCCTTGTACTTCACCCAAAGCAATTTTCAGTTGAACTAGCAGCTGTGCTGGCACAGCGCACACGGAGAGTGGGCCACATGCGCCAGCGGTGTGTTCCCACATCTGAACAGAAGTGGCCGTTTCCATGCACCCAGGGCCAAGAAACTCTACAGCTCATCAGAGGCAAAACAAGGGAGGATACCTTAAACAGAAATCATACTTAGAAAAAACTTTTACGGAAAATGAAAAATAAAAGGATTTTCAATCATCAGAAATGAGGAAGGGAAGTTGTCTTCTTGGCATAGGGTTTGCAGATATATTTTTATAAATGGATAGCAGAGTGCAAGCTTAACTTAATGATCCCCATCCCCAAAGCTACACTGGATTTTCCTCTATCCACTCTACAAAGACAAGTAAAAGAAGTTAAACAAGAATATAACCTTAAAGGGCACCATCATAACCACAGCTACTACTAGGCATTGGCTGTTTACCATCTCACAATCCCTGTGCTGTTCCCTTCATAAACAGTATCTCAGATGCCATTTCACCATTTTACACTTAAGAAAACTAAAGTCTAGAAGTTTATAATAAACTGCCCACCAATTTTGACTCCATGGTCTTAACCATTACGTTACACTGAGTTCCCTCAGATCACCAAGGGTTTTCCAACCAGCCCTGAAGATACAGCTTGTCAGCCTCACTCAGGAGTACACAAGATGATAGTTATGGTGGGGAAGATTTTAAAAAGGGGAGGGGGGACTGCAGAGGAGCAACTTGATTATTTGGAAAACCTGCACATTCCAGAGTTAACCAACTCATTAACTAGTACCTTTCTGATAAATACATTCAAAATAGACTTAAATAGCAGGTACACATTGTGTACTGAATTTCTGCTAAGTCACAAGCACTGGATATATCATAAGTGTGTTGAATAAATGAATGAACTAAGTCATCACAGTTAGATGTCATTTTGAAGGTTTTCAAAAATAATCTGTTTTACACAAATGTACGCAAAGGGCAGTAGAGACATTTGTAATAGTACGAAAAGCTAGTATGTTGACTTAAGTAATACAAATGTTCTCCATTTTGGAAAGTAGGCTAATGACTGAAAATATGCCATAGACCAATAACAAATTTTTGTAGTTCCAAAAGAATTGACATGCAAAGATTAAAATACTTACATTGAACCACAAGAGAAAATTAGGTATAAAAATTCTAATTATCCTATATTCACTTTGAACTAGCCAATAAAGTGAACTATTTTAAGATAGTGGGTGGGATTATAAATCTTTGTTTATCAAAGCCTAAAAAATAGGTAGTGTTAGAATATACTTAATATATTTTTTAAAAATGTAATTATTTAAAATAATTCTTTGCTTTGGTGTCTTCATCTCTGATAAAACACAGATGGAGCAATAGAAATGATAATGGAGAAACTCTTAGGAAATATCTCCAGAGGAATGTACCCTCAAACTGAGGTAAACATGAAGTTCTACACACACCTCAATACATGACAGCTTCAAATGATGGCTTGGCCTCACTCAAAGTTACGAAGTGAGAAAAACAGTCCCCTGGTCTACTACATTCAGAATGTGCACAATGCTACCTCCTTGTAAAGAATCACCAGGCATTCACCCACTGATGGTGTGGGGTCCCCTTCAGATGAATTCACATAGTACACACCAAATGGGCCTCTTTATCTCAGATACTTATTGACCATTATTGACCAGTGTTTTAACATGAACAAAGCGTTGCCATACTCACAATCTTGGCAGAAAAATAGCACAAGCAGAATTCCTGAATTTGTTCACTTTTTTTCTCCAGTAAATGTAGTAACCATTAAATTTAAAATATTTCAATTTTCTTTTAAGCAGATATTCATGTAAGATAAAAGGCACCAAAGGTTTTCCAACAAAGGTCTCCTCCCTCAAAAGGTGTATTCTATGTTCAGTAATTTATTTCTAAGAAAAACCCGCCACTATATAAATATAAAGAACCCAGGAAAATATACCCCATAGTTTTGAATGTTGGAAACTGACAAGACAGTTGAATAATCACAATGAAAGCTTTAAAATGGAGTTCCTCTACTTTTGGGGATTAACAGATGAATCTGAGAAATGGTAAACTGCGTGTAGTTATACTGATTGAAGTAATAAAATCAAAACATTATTTTCACATCATCTAAAAATAATCACTTGAACAACGTTATAAAGTAAATATATTTTCAGGTGACCCTGTTCCTGGACCCCAAAAAGGAGCCTGATAAGCAATGTAGAGCATAAATATCTATCTGTGTAAAATTTATGCCTCACAAATAACACATATTCATCAAAGCAAACAAAGTCCTCTCATTTGCAGAATTAAATATGACTTGCTCTGTACATTTTAAGATAATCATATGATCAGAGGTAGACTGTAACTATGAAAGTTCTCATATTTCTTCCTACGAAGAATAGTCTCTGAGTACCCGACCCCGATATCTCAATTGTGTATATTTCTGTTTTTCAGGAAAATTAAATACCCTGGCCACAGAAACTTCATGTAGTGGCTAATGAAGAAATACAGTATATTAAATCTAACACAGACATAAGTATGCTTATGGACAGCCACTTCTAAGTTCTGGTTCTTTTTATCTCAGACCCACAAACAATTTTAATATAATGGTGAAAAATCACATTGTATGACTTAAGCTTGAAATCAATGGCAAAGGTACCTTGATATAAGTCAATCTGGACAGAAAAGAGAGGCAAATGCTTGTGTTGCTAAACTTCAAAAACAAACCTGAGGTTCTGCAAATACATTCTTCATGTTGTTGATTGGGCCATACGGGACTCCACTGCCTTCAAAAAAATGTAACCACTTGCTGGTCAGTTCTTCTTCAAACCTAAGACAAACAAGGATAAATTTTTTTACATAGGAAGGAACATAACACAGCCTCTTCTATCATGTGGCCCTCCTTCAAAGCAAGCAATACTGACAAAAATATGTTTCCTAGTCTTTCTTTACACCTCATTTGAGAGAAGGCTGTCTGTGTGAAATGACTTGAGTGGCCCTGTATGGATAAGAGCAGCCACCCAGGTGCTAGTGTTTAAAAATCCATCATTTACAGGTGTAATTCTTCCTATTTCTATTGCTATGAATTCTCTGAGCAATTTGTGAATTTAATAATAATAATATCATTGTACTTTGAGCGTGAAGTCATTGGGCAATATGTCTTTTAGGTCTCAGGTAGTGGAAATCAGGTTAGGATAGGCACTGATATATTATTCTTCAAAACAAAAAAAAAAAATACTAATGTAACTGTTTTAAGAAAGCTTTGGGAAAAGTATGCAAAAATTAATGGTCACAACCATTGGCCTACAAACAACCTTTACACTGTGATTTACTAACCAGCACAACTGAAGACATGCAAAGAGTGATATTTCAGTTCAGCCAACAAAACTCAAATTTATCCAAATCCTTTGTCTGTTTTATTTCTACTATAATTTAAAATTGGACTTCACAGACAGAAAAGCATATGGATTTTCTTTATTTTCCCTAATAGGTCTTAAGGAAGGGAAGCTAACACATTTATGAGATTTATTGTTTGATATTTCTTCTCTGTAAAAACAGTGAACACAGAAATAAAATCTTGGATCTATAGGGACACCCCAACACAATTAGTTTCTAATGAATGAAGACTTTCAGAATTATTGATTATTAAAATGTCAAACCTGTTCTAATTAATAATCTAGGTAACCAAAGAGACATTTTTAAAATATTAGCCAACGTAGACTAAAATGTTTTACTAATATGGAAGGGCTAGTGAAACAATAGTAGAATATTCATGGACTTCCCTTCGGTTCTCCTGTACATAGGTAAAACTAACTTCAAATCTGCAGACTCCAGAGGAAACTGTATTAGATAAATTTACTTCTTTCACCATTAAAAAAAAAATACATATATATAGGAATAGCTTCAGCCAGGCGCGGTGGCTCACGCCTGTAATCTCAGCACTTTGGGAGGCAAAGGCGGGTGGACCACCTGAGGTCAGGAGATCCAGACCAGCCTGACCAAAATGGTAAAACCCTGTCTCTACTAAAAATACAAAAATTTAGCCAGGCATGGTGGCCGGTGCCTGTAATCCCAGCTACTTGGGACGCTGAAACAGGAGAATCCCTTAAACCCAGGAGGCAGACATTGCAGTGAGCGAGGTCGCACCAATCGCACTCCAGGACTGGGCAACAAGAGCGAAACTCCATCTCAAAAAAAAAAAAAAAAAAAGAATAGTTTCAATACTGAAGGACACTTAATTGATTGCTACGTAAGAGAAGAAACGAAAAACAAGAATTAAAAAGAAAAAATGGAATAAATATATGTTCCAAAATAAGGCTACTATATGAACAATGATGTTCAATCATGTAAGTTTTTATTTAAGGATATAATAAATATTTTTTATAAAGGTAGTATTACATTTCACTAGGAAGTTAATCAATCCTATCCACACATTCATTTACTGATTACCCACTATACACCAAGTATTGATTTTGTTTTTAAATATATGCCTTCCATTTTCTCTCCAATTCTATGGATAAGGATTTTTTATTATACATTTTAATTTCAGCCCAGTAATGTTAACTACCCCTATTTAGTACACAATAAAATACTTCACTTCTGAATATAGTTTTAAAAAATCTTTCATAGGAATAACAATGCAAGGTTAAATGTTTGGCTCATCAATTCTTCACATTCTTACTTTCTTTTCAATGACTGTTACAGTCAACTCCTGGCCAAGGCTTCCTAAAATATATATAGATATATATCATCAGAATGATATATGCTGAAAGAACAAGAGATACTTTGAACCTGGAGCCTTTTCGATGAGGGCGTCAATTACTTAAGTTTTCAAAGATGGAGCATTAAAACAGTTAGCCTGATAAATTTTCAAGACAACAGAATTTATCACCACTGGACTCACCAGAGTGGCCTGAAAGATCTACACAGCAAATGCATGTCAATATCCAAACAACCCATGGCTGCAGGTTAGCCAACAGAAAACTCAGGGGAATAGTTGAAGTTTTAGTATTTATATAAGCTTTTCACCACTGGGCAAAAAAGAGGGATTTATTTCATGTTATGGAAAATAACGGATGCACTCTGGAAATGAGAGTGCGGGAGCTGCAGTTGTGACCACTGTTTGTGTCTTTGCGTGGGTGTGGGTGTGGAAGGGTTCTGAAATGCCATGAACTCAATCAGAGAAAGACAGAACATCGTTGCATTCCACTGCTCTCAGAGGACATATCCATCATTTTTTTCTAAAAATCTATCTCTTGATCTAAATCGGATGTGGAATCCTTTATGCAAAAAGCTGTAAGCACATGTTTTTATTAACCACAAAAATTCTGCTAAAAAAATTTTAAAAGCTGATATAAATCACTAAGGGCAATAGATTCCAGAAGATAAGACAAAAAGGGTGTCCTCAGATCCAGCTTAGCAAGTGAAGTTAGGGCCTTCACTGGAAAATTATTTGGAGACTCATGAACAATTCAAATGTAATTGGCAACTTACTAAATCAATACATATATTTCATTCTAGATTTTTGTAAATTCACTTAATGTTGGGAATGAGTATTATGAATCAAATGGCATCATTTAGATAGGTGAAGCACAGCTGATGTTAAACTTCCTAACATCAAAATTCCACTTAAGAAATGAAACATTCTTCTCTTTATAAAATGAATTAAAGTTGCAAATGAGACAAATACAAGACCAGAAAGAAACTAATAAAAGATCTCAGCCATGAAGGTGAGAGTTGGAAATAATTGTGACATTAGTGACAACTAAATGCTGGTTATTAAATAGTTTAATCTATATTTTGTCAATTTTATTTTCACAGCCACGCTATACGGTATTATTCTCATTTGACCAATAGGAAACTCAGGTTCAGAGAAATTGACTTGCTCAAATTCATACAGGTTTTAGAGTCTTAGAGTCAGATGTCATGTTTAAAGCTGAGATTGCTTAACTCCAAAACCACGTTCTAACACATAATGACTGTAGCAGAATACATTCGGAATGCATAGCTTCACATATTTTATTCATTATATATGGTCACAGCTAAAAAATGAAGGAGCAGAGGTGAAACTGTTCATTTTTTGCACTAATAATATGCTTCTTCACTTCTATCTTATATACCTCAGTATATATTATTACATTAATACACATTCATTCCCGATGCTTTTAGCAAGAGTTTGTTTTGCCTCTGCCATGGAGATTGCAATAAAAAAGACAGTCTCTGTGTTAAGAGTTCATATAGTCTAATGGAGAACACAGCTATGAAAAGAGAGGAATTACAATGCAGGATGCTGAAACGAAGATACGAAGAAACAACTTATGGTTGTTTCTTCAGCAAAGAGGGAGACTTGCACTGAAACCATGGATGCGGGAAAGGGTTCAAAAACAAGGCGATATTTGAGCCGAGTATTGAAAGACAAGTTAAAATTAGTCATGTGAAAGATGGGAGAGAGGCTCTTCCAGGTAGAAAGAGCAATATGTACAAAGATCTAACTTGGAAAGAATCTGAAATCTCCTGTGCCCCAGGTGGCAGAAGATGAAATGTGACAGAAAGTTTAGAACCAAAATGCAAAGCAACTTGTCTGCTATGCTAAGAATATTGGATTTCTTCTTGCAACAAGGAACTCAGAGAGGTCTTTAGGCAGGGGACTGACCTACTCAGCACTAATGCAGACAATGGACTGATGTAGATGAGACTAGAGATGTACGGCTGATGTAGATGAGAAACTTGACAGGAGGCAACATACGCTTTGCCTCTGATGCATCCCAAATCTGCCGATCAGTAGTAACTTCCATATTATTATCAATAACAAACAAGTTCCCATTTGGAAAAAAAGATTGTTTTCTAGAAATTTCCAATCCTTTTAATTACTCTTATTTATCTGTTTTTAATTCACCATCAATCCCGAGCCTCTGAAATCTGGTTTGGTCATGAATGCCTTTTCTTACCCAGTCTCTAAAGGTCTCCAGCTATCATTTGTAAAATCCAATATTCTTTTCATGGTTGTCATACTACGT